GGATGTATGACATCCTAGTAGTATTTTTAACACCTCCCTTTTCAGTCTTTTGCTCGGTTAGATCAGCTCCTTCTGTCAGGATGAGTCTAAACGTAGGTCCACTCCGTTAATCACCCCCCGCTCTCCTTTCTGGCACTTAACCCTCCAGGCATTTTGCCTCTTCAGGAGATTAAGCGACCAAGTCATCTTGTTGCTCTAACATGTCCTCACTGGAGCAACATATTAGCACAATTCCTCTGCAGAAGAGCCCTCTTTAGAAGTTTGCTGCAGGGATGACAAATTAACCCAGCATGGTGTCCCACACATCTATCTCAGCACAAATTATTAGTGTAATAGAGCTTTTAGTTATGCATTTATCTAGTAATTATTGAACGGTTATACAAAACGAAGCTGAGCAATCATGGCCCTTTATGAGGCATTCTCAGTGGGTGGCCTTACAGTTAATTTAGGATAGGACTGTCTAAGCAGTTGACTCGCACACAAATTAGCTGAACAGTCTGCTCCTTTAAATATTTCCTATGTCACAGGGTAACTCGTTACAATACAACAAAGGTAGAGTTTTAATTACACGGTTCCTGACTTTTGTTTAGCGGGAGCTTTAACCGTTTGCAAGCCTTTCTCTCTCTCTTCCCCTGCCTGGACACGGGGGTAAAAGGGAGTTTGGGTAGGGTACGTAATGACTACTAAACCCTGACCTTGAGGCCATCTGTTAGCAAACTGGTTCCTCTAGCTTTGTGTTTTTGGAAAGCAAGTGAAGGGACAATATCAAAATCTTTGCCTATGTGGTTGGCTAAAACCAGGTGAGTCCTCCCCACATGCTGACACGCAACCGGGGCTCCGCTTCGCCCCGCTGCCGGCTTTGCCAACCTGTTGGTCAACGTTACGCTATTTGCAGTTTCTACTCAACTGTCATTGCTTTCTTACCGTTACAGTGTGGCTTGTCTCCTCTCTGGGCTGTCTTACATTAGCATACCTACATTTGAGATGTCTGCACTGTAATGAACTTCCACTGCTTTGTTTCGGTCAAAACTCTATGGAAAGTAGAAGGTTACGTTAGTCTGGGGGCTGAGAGCCGCGAGCGGCAGCCAGCGCGGGTTGCGTGGCACAGGCTATTACAGAATGTCCTTTTGCATTGTGTAGCTCTGAAGGGAGTTAGAGGAAATCATCACGTTTATTCATTTCGAGCTAGCTGGCGGGACAGCTAACAGACACTGATATTTTGGTGATGCTGTAAGAACAGAGAAGGGCACAGCTTCTTCCCAGGCCTCTGACAAAGCGTTTGCTCTATTGGAACTAATGGAGGGTTTCCCTGGTAGGCCTCTACTGATGAAAGTCTCGGTGGAAATGCTCGTTATGGAAACTTTACAAAAAGAGAGCCACTCCAGTGGTTGACTTTCATCCCTTCCTCTCTTTCTGTTCACCTACCGCTTCCTTGGTTCTTCCCTTTGTGCTCTGTCTTGTTTCCTGTAATTGCATTCCCCCTTCAGCTATCTTCCTAATACATCAGCTCATTCTTAGGGTTTTTTTTTTTCTTAGCTTGCTTTGCTGCTCTTGGTTTGTGGGATCTACGCTGTCATACTCTGTGGAAATGCACGAGTGCTCTACAGCACAAGCTGCTGTGCATCCCGGGCTTACAAAATCGTGGCCAACTTAAGGTTTCAGCCAGCTCCAGATACAAAGTCACTAGAGTGTAAGCAGCAATATATGGAAACCTGAAACCACTTACGTAAATATTGCTGTCACCCACAGTATTTAAATCCTTCACTGTCTGGTAAAAAGTTTGAGCAGGCCAATGCTGAGGAAACTTCTAAAGATGCCAGCAGTACAGTATGGAAACACAGACCACCAAGTATCGTCTTGCAGGTATGTTGCTTTGGAGATAGAGATATAACTGTTTGAATTTTCAATGTTTTGAAATACATTCTGAAACTGATAGCGGTGCTAAAGCCACCCTATAGGTGATCAATTTACCATCTGCCAGACACTGAATCCTAACCATGCTGGTCCAGAGAAGACATATGGTGCATTCAGAGAGTCATGCCCAAAAAACTGCCATCATCAAGCGAGGCTCCATGAATCACTTTGCTCGCTTATCACCAAAGAAGCTTGGATCTTGCCACCATCTGTTGGAAGTAGTGAGGAGTCACTGAAGCATTGGCATCCATGCGCCAGCACTCACCGCACATCTGGTCCTCTGGTCAGCCAGCTCAGATCCTCTCTGCTGGCTACTGCCCAGCTGGGTTGAGTACTGGCAACAGCACCAATGCAGACAGAAAACTAGTGCACAGCCTTCCACAACACACTGCAGTCCAGCCAATTTCAGGAGAACAGAGGTTTTGCAAGTTGGTTCATTGAATGGACCACCTCATAGCACAGAAATCCTCTGAAAAATCTACTCCTCCTTCGAGCAAGTTCTGCTCCCAAAAAAATTCATGATGAGTATCCCTGGGAAGGGCGCTGCAGATCTCTGGATATCCCCAGCGAAAGACGTGCACTGTGTTCTAGGGAATGTTTGGAAGTGTTTGAAGGATTCAAGAGAAGTTACAAATCACTGCATGTCATTGACAACACCTGCCATGAATAGTCTACAGCTTTTTCTCTGCTCTCTCTCTTTTGATCATGCTCCACAAATGCTTCTCATTTGCCTATCCAAATGATCAGTTTGCACACAGGAACATCAAAAGGAGAATGGACCTTCTTGCAATTGTTCAGTTGGCTCGGGGTGTACACTGTTTTCGACCTACTTATTCATGACTTTCATTGAAGTTTCCCTGAGGAATGAGAAGTAAATCCTGCTCTCTCTTTTTCTGAAGACCACTCAGAATGACCTGTCATAAGCCATTTACATATGTATCCAAAGAGAATTCAACATATATGTGTACTGTATTATACCCATAATTTTCACAAAAAACACTACAACTTCCTGTAATTAATTGCAGATATGAGATGCTCAAAAGTCCTGACTTCTTACATGATTGCATTTCACTTCTCATGTACCTGAAAAAGCTTTCCTTTTTGCTTATTGTCCTAAAGTGCTTTGGAGGGAACAGAATAAAGGACAAAGCTGGATTTGCAGAAAATAATCCATCTTAGTATATGACCCTCCACTAATAGAATGATTGCTGTAGAATAGAAATAAACACAGCCAATGTGTTATGAAAGAAGAATACTGAAGAGGCATGTCCAAAAAAGAACAACAGATGAAATTTGGAACAAGATTTTTCCAGGATGATGACACTTAAGGAACTATGGATGAATTCAGAGGATTTTGCTGAACATCTGTAACTCTTTGTGAGCAAGCATAAAACAGAAGAAGATACTTTGAGAAGATGTTGCAGAAAGACAAATTTTGCTCAACTTATTAGGAGCCGCAGTGAATAGAAACGGTGACATTTTCCTCTGGAGTTAGTAAAGACACCTCCTTCCAAACAAACAAATTTGTCAACGGGCGTCACTGTATTGCTCGTTTGAACTCTGCCACGTTTGGGATGTTTGCACATAACCCCAAGTGCAGAGAAAAAGTCTTACGAAAACAGACTGTAGATTAGATTTAAACAAGACCTAACTAGTAATGAAATGCATTTGCCTTCTAAATCACACAAACATTTAAAACATGAAGGTTCTAAATAGAGGTAAAAAAGTCATTTTTTGATGTTAAAAAATATGTGTAAAGTGAAGCATAACAAAATACAGAAAGGATCTATTAACTAATCGATCAACAACTCCAATCTAAAAGGCTGAACTTCTAAACGATAGGAAATCCATCAGCAGATGTGCACTGAATATGATGTTAATGGAACATTCATATTATTCACACTTATATCACCAATTATCAAGGCTTTTAAATGAAGAAATGATATATTTGCCAGAGAGCACAGATCCAGATCTCAAGGGATTTTATATGTCTGCATAAAACTTAGATCCCAAAATACCTTTTGAGGATCTGGGCGCTTGTCTCTCAGCTAGTAAATAATTTTTATGGGATTAACCAGAACAACTCAAACTGCATTAAGAAGGTTTAGCAAAGCACAAAGAACCACGAAGCACAATTCTGAGCTCCTGTCAACTGAAGGCTGGTGCAATTCCACCACTTTATGCTACACACCTGGCACTGTGCAGACTGAGGGGTTACTTCTCATTGGTGCTGCCCTCAGGAAGACCACACGAATGCCAACAAACATTTCAAAATGATTTCTAGTATGAATTGCTAACGTGTCTTTTCAAGCTTCACCATGCACCAGAGCTCTCCTAAATGAAGTAAATCTCTTCTAAATGAAGTAAAATGTCATAGCAGAAAGAAACATGTCACAACCATTCACTCTTCTATCTTCAAAAAGAAGGTTTGCAAGTGCCATGCCCAAGTGTGTTCCTTTCCAAGTGTGAGCTGAGATTTTTTGTATTCAGTTTGCTAAGCTAATGCAGATGTATCTTTCTTGCAAGTTTATGAGCACATCAAGACCCAGTGAACATCTTTTTTACTTGGAAGGTTGGTGAGGACTGTGAAGAGAACCAACAAAGTACTGCAGAACAACTTCAGAGGGGTCCCCTACCAAGGTGGGTCTTCAGCGCGCTGCCACCAGTGACACAAATGCTAAATGGCTCGCAGGGAAAAGCAGCGGTGTGGGGCATGGACCAGAGGTGAGGGATGAGTCCCTGTCTTGAGCAGTTAGACTGAATCTATGGTCTATATCGATACAAGCAGAAAGACAACACGAGACCCTGTCCCTTTCCCCACCCTCTTCAGACAAAAACCCCAAGCCCCCAGAAACCAACATTTCCCCCCTTAGGAAATGCGGAATGGCCCTGGGGAGTTTCGGCAAGTGGCCCAAGCTATCGAAACCACACGCAGGTCTTGGCGAGGAGAACGTCCAGGTGAGGAGCGTTCGGAGCAGAGCCTCTCCCCGGGCGGCTCCCACGTGGCGCCAACTTTCCATGGAAAGCGGAGGGGACGGCGGGCGCTAACGCTCCTCGCTGCCTGGGGCTCCTGGGGAAGGCCTCACCTCTGGGTCCTGTAATGACAGGTCGATGGTGCTGTGTGAAAGCCGTTCCAAGGGAGGAGGTCTGCGAAGGCGAGGGACTGCTGAAACCAGACTTCTCTGACTTCTTTAATGTAGTTGGCGATGTCATTCCTGGCAAGAATGATTGATAAGTGCAATTTAATAATGCTAGGTCATGGAACGACAGCCTATGCATCGTGAAAGTGGGTGCAGAAGCAGCTAGATAAACTTAAAGGACAAATGAAATTGAATACAACGGCGAGCCGAAAGCTCGCTTTTATTTATGGTCTTTCTTGAGGAAGAAGCAGCCATGGTTTGCTCTGAGCAATGAGTACTAAAACGCAGCCATATTTTTCTTTTAAATCTGAAATATGGATAAGATGCGGCTCATTATTGCTACTGAAACCTACTCTGCTTTATTTTTAGAAATCTGCAATAGCTGGAGCATTTGGGTTTTTACGGGCTTTTTATGAGTTCTGCCTTTCACTCACTGGTTTAGTAGATTATTGCAAATGGATCTTTTAAATGTGCTGCAAGACTCAAGGCACAACTAGAGAATGAAGTTTTCTGAGTTCAGACTCTGCATTTCCTTACTCTGACTTCAAAGGTATTTGAAAGTAATATATTTATGTGGTTCCCTTTTACTTTCCATTTTTTTTAAAGGGTGAATGGTATTTATGTCTTTATATTAGAAGCCACGCTGGCATTTTTTCAGAGCTGTTAGTATGCCCTTGAACTATATCAAAGGCTTCCAACAAAAATCCGAGTTGCCACCGGGTGAAACGTCTGCCATGGACAGGCAGAAGTGGTGACCATGCTAATGTGACCATTATGATACTCTACAGGAGTAGCTCCTGTTGATATTGCTATCAAGGCTGTGGTTTGTTCAGTTCCTATGCTGTACCGAAGAAATTTGTGGAAAGAATGCAATTGCAATGGGGTCTTAAAACTCAAAGCTTTTATCCATATGGTTTATGCTTGGGTGAAAGAGTATTGCAGCATACAGTTAAAGGATATATGTGTGTCTGTATTATTATCACCTATAGTTTTATAGATGTTGAGGCATATGGATGTTCTGATTAGCTCTACATACCTCTGAAAATACCTCATTTTCAGTATATGCAATTCATCAGACATTTTGCATATCTGTAGAGATATGGTAAAACAAAGGTGCGAATTGTTGAGGTTTCAGGTGAAAAAGCAAAACCTCAGATAATGCTGGAAGTTGAACTTCCACTAGCAAATCAGTAAGCCTTATTTCCACTCTGTACTTTAAAGAATTTAATTCCTAAAAATGGAAAAGGAAGGCCTGGACATTATTATCTCTGGACAACATTATTAACGTTATATTTAATAACCCTATTTTTATAGTCCCTGGGATGTTGATTGCAATAGGCAGCAGCCTATTTATGCCATTTATACCCTGCGCTGCTGGGGTCTTAATGGTTTCAGTGAGGTTTTGCAGTTTATATTCAGAAAGTTAAATAAAGTCAGGGAGCCATTAGAGTTCCAGTGCTCCAGTTATAACTTTCTGCTGAAACTGCTTGCTGCTAGGGTCTTCTGTTGTGGTGGCTGTCGCCTCGCAGAAAGAGAAGTTACATATGTGTGGGTTTTCTTTTCTAAATAATAGTTTAGAACTGGCAGACTATTGTGCAAGAGAAGCGATGGGTTGTTTTTATTCTTTTTTTTTCCGTATTGCTTTTAAAGACTCTGGGGTAGGAAGAAAAGCAAATGAGTTGGTTCAGCCTGAGGGTAAGGAGGGAAGGTGGCTGAACTGAAGGAAATGCCCATGGGCTGTAACGCCAATGGGCATTTGGGTGTCTGTGTCCATCGGGGGACATGCAAAAGGAGTCACAGGGAGGAAGCCAGGTGGCAGGGACCGAATGAGCATCAAACACAAAGTCAAGGGGGCCCGAGGACTTTGTGCGCGTGGACGCAGCACATCACGGGCAGAGCAAGCGCTGCGCATGCACGGGGACGGGGCAGTCACACATTTCAGCCCTGCTCCGTCTGCAATCCAGGGCAGTTTCCTATCGTTGAAAGCTGCAGCGAGTCCATGCGCTTGCGCTCAGCACACTGCAACTTGAGGAGCTTCGACGGAAAAAAAGCAGAATGACCTTGGACTACGGCAGTGCTGAGCAATGTCCTTCTCCTGTGGGGATGGGTTTTGTAAGGCTGAGACAGCCGCCGTAATGTGCAAGGGGAGATTCGAATGTAATGCTATGCTGCAAAACAGCGAGCAGAGCGAAAACTTGAAGCCTGGCTAACTGGTTCCTTTTTTTTTATATTTATTTGTTGTCATTATGATTGCCACTACTATTATACCACTGTTGCTGTTTTTATTTGGGCATGTTTTGAAATGCCTTGGTCTTGAAACAGTCCGGCTCTACCATGTTTTTATTTTGTTTGAGCTTTGTAATGACACATTTTATCAGGAGTGATCACATCCATCAGATCTCAAGAAAAAAATGGCTGCTTCTTAGTTCAGAGGAATATGCAAACAGGAGCTTAATTACTTCACTTAATATTGACCAAGAGAAAGAATAAGACGAGCTTGCCAGCTCATTTCCAAAGCATGTTTTGTCCTTTAAGAGGGAAGGGTATGACAGAAAGTTAGGCAGTGCAAAGCAATTAGCATCATTCACATATTATGGTGCGCTAGCATGGGGCTGTAGCAGCAAAATTCAAACATTCGTTGAACGGGTTAATAAAAGGAGAAATACAGTCTGCATGCAAGAAAAAGGTTTCCAAGAACAAGCCAAAATATGTCCCATTCTTCTAAATTTATCACAGCCATGTCACATTATCCTTGAGACTGCCAGGAATGTCAATTTTTGTGCAATTTAAAAAAAATATCTCATTTAGCACCATATGTTTGGTTAATGTGTCTGATATATCCTGCGTATTCTTCCGTCCATCCCTCTCCTAATACCCGCTTTCGTCTCTCCTCGCCAGGCCAGATGCCGCCACGCTGGCCGTGCTAGCGAGGCTCCTTTCGGGGAGCGAGGCCAGGGCCTTGGTTTGGCCACCCGGGGGAATCTGGGAATTCTGGGAATTCTCCGTGGATGAGCAGGGATGGAATTAGGTGGTTAATTGCTGGCACCCATGCTGGAGACTGCGGGCCAGTTTTAAAGGTCTTCTCTTCGCTACCTAATGAGTTTGAACGCGGTTAGCGGTCCCCAGGCCTCCGCTTCCCCTCCTGCGCTGCTCAGGGATGCAGGAAATTAAAAAGCTCACGCTGAGGCGCGGGCAGAGCCGCCTTCGCTCGGCGCCGCGCGGGCACCGCGGCGGGGCCTCCTCACGGCCTCGGCCTGCGCCATCCCCACGCGGCCTCAGCTGCGAGGGCCGCGCGCCAAGGCCGCCCCCGGCCTCCCCGCATCCATCTGCTCCGCGGGGCGGCCCCGCTGCGCGCCGGGGCGCTCCTCGCCCTGCCAAATGCCAGGCCCACCTGGCGCTCGGGGGAAACGCGGGTCTCATCTTTCCAGCCCCGCTCTCCCCTGGACGCTGCTTAAGTGCGACGGGAGGAAACGGGGCTGTTTCCATCCTGGGGCAGCTTTTAACTATGGAATCAGCCAACTGATAAATAAAGGAAAACAAGGGGGTTTTCTAGAATAAAACAGACACAAGTCTGAGCAGGTACGTTATTTTAGCTTACTGCACTTGTGTTCGTGTGATAGCGTCAATATATATATGCCAAACATATATGGTCTTCGCCTGCTCCCCGCAGCATGAATCAGAGCTTTTTCACTGGGCAGAGGGAGCCAGATCAAAGACCATGATGGTGCTAAATGGAACAAGATGTGCATTCTCGTATTTTTTTCCAAAAGGAAATATTAATTTGACATTGGTTTTCCAGTTGCAAAGAATTTTAATTGCAGAACACAATAAGCCGAAAATTCAGACAACAATAATCTTGAAACTGTTAGCAGCATTATATTTCTATCAAGGAATCTGTGAGCCTTTTCAACATTAGAGCTTTCTGAATTTTCATTAATTTGGCATTTCCCTAAACACACAAGTTATTTTGTTCATTCCACATCATGCATCACACCCTTCTGCTCAATGCATAATGCAAGCGTAAATGGGATCCTTGTCCTTGAGAGACTCTGGTCACTGGAGCCATGTACGGATGTTGAAGTCCCGCAGTAAGACTTTCCAAAACTCTGCACTTCGCAAACCTCCAGCCCAAGCTTAATCAAGGAATTCACAGGAATACGTCATGTTCCTCATCTTCTAAGGGGCTCTGGAGCACTGGGATGGTTTTAGTTCCTCTACCTCCTAGTGCTTGCCAGGACTAGAAATGCACCACATAATAGTCCTCCTTGAGTACAGCTAAAGATCTTCAAATTTTCATGTATGAGGTTGGTATTTATTTAAATGGACCAGAGAATGGTGTGTGAAAATCAAATGCACAAAATCCTTCCCAGAACAAATAAATATCTATTAAGCCACTTCCCATGAAGCTATGTGTGCCTTGCTGCCAGTGGCACTGGAACCAGGATCAGCTTTGATGAGGTGAATGGAGGCACAGCGGTGGAAGAGCAGAACGCTTCCCTTTCTCTCCAGATCCATACCTATATAGCCTATACATCCATCCAACCTCACTCTTTAGTGGCTGGCATTCTCCTGACTCCACACATCTTAATCAGTAACTCCACATCAAGCCAGGCACATCAGCAGTCCCACTAATATTCATCTCCAAAGGTAACTTCTGGAAAATTATCCCAACTCTGCTGCTAGAGTCTTGATGGAGATTTTGAAACAAAAGCTATGGATGAAACATGGTTTTGCTCTTTGCTCTCAAGGGACACTATGAGAAGGAGTCAAGGAAGCTCAGATATTACCAGGTGGACCATGACCATAACAACATGCAGAACAAATAAGATGATGCAGAAAAACAAGTTGGCTGTTGAAGAAAAAACAAAACAAAACAAAACCAAAAACAACTGATACATAAAAAGAATTTTGAAGGAATTTCCACTCTTCTGTGAAAATTATTCCAGCAAGATCACTGAAATCAGTGTCAGCAGAAGTGCTTATCAGCTGCTTCTTTTCTGGGAAGGTCTTAGTTTGTCCTCTAGGTTTCCTGCGATGTGGATGGCTCCGGTGCTGTCCCTCAGGCTAACCCTGCT